GCGCTGTTGCTGATAATTAGCTTTGGTCTGTACTATCTTGCAACCGGTAAGTTGCCTCTTTCTTGTCTGGAACACGTGATGCGTTTGTTTGCATGGAGTGTTGGTTGTTAGTGGATGATATCCTTCCTCATTCTTGAAATGTTGTGTCTATGGTGCATGTGTCAGTGTACTTGATCTGGTGGGTGTTTATTGACATTGTGGTAGGTCATGTGGAGAGTTTTCATAACACCTTCGAGGGATCGAATGTGTCTCCTGGATATCTGGCACTATCGTTCTACCAGGGTTTCTGGGCATTTTCGGGGTGGTGAGTGCTGCTTTTTAACTGTTTGCACGTTATTTGTCCCTGCTTGGTTATCATTGAGAGTTGGCTGTCTCGTTAGTCGACTTGCGTATTTTTGGATGCCCTATTTTGTGGTTATTAAATTGTCGTAATATAGGTTAATGAGGTGGTGCTTTAGGTGGTAGTGCAGTTGGCGAGTGCATTGTTTGCGGAGTACCAACCATGTGGATGTTTGGCTGCGGTTGAAATGTAGAGTGCCCTGCTCATATGCAGTTAGTTAACGGGCAGTCCAGTAGTGGTGCATCTTTGTACTCTTGGAAGAGGTAGAGAACGCGTGGACGTTCCTTGGAAGTATATTGGGCGAGTGACTTTCGTGACTAGGTGTAAACGAAGATGCGATAACCCATGGCAAACACTACTGAGAGGCTTCCATTAGCTAGCCTCGAATTAGTTTGTTCTACATGGATGGGTAATGTTTCATCATTATTGAAATGACCAGTATTAGGAGGCCTTCCTGAACGCCAAGTGATGTTGATTTAGGGTGGTACGTTGTGCTGCCACACTTGCATATGCTGTGAAATGAATAAGCTTTGGGAAGAGTGTTGTTGGGATAATGCATTTCCATGCCTTACAATACACTCAAGTACTCGAGTAAGTTTTTACACGTCACAGACTGCCAGGAGGAGGAGAGGGTGGACAGTGGCAAAGTAGTTGAGCATCAGTCGATTTATGCAGTATCGCATCACTTATCACAAGTCAAATTGGTCTGTGGAGTGAAGATTTGACATTTATGTGCTAATATAACACAAATGTAAGGTGGACGAATGTTGGCGAGACGTATAATTGTTTGTCGGATTTATTATTACTATCATTTCTTTGAACGTTTAATCACATCTTGAACTGACTTGTAGGAATTACCTAAATTTCCTGGTAGAGGAAATGAAGAA